CGAACCCCACTACGATGAGGTGGAAAATCACCACCACGAGACGCAAATAAACCCAGCTTTTGAGGAATTCCATCCAACGGAAGTCAAGGTAAAATAAATCATTATCCTATTTATTATCAACAAATTCTCAAACAACAATTTTATAGATCCGTGCCGAGACGCATTTGTTGACCGAGCTTGTGCCTGTTGCTGAACGCCGAGCCCTTTCGAGTCAACTGAAGCGGTGGGTTTTGGAAAGGATTTATTGAGACTAAAGATCTGTCAAGAGGCTCAAACTTGGCTCATACTAGGCCCGAGCTTAGCTTGTGGCGCCAATTGATTGAAAAATCTGATCAATCTAATCAATCCCAATTGATTGATTTAGGTTTTGGGCTGACCAGATGGTCTAGTCTAAACGCCTCTATGTCATACAAATTGCAAGTGTATGGACTTGGCGCTAGTCCTGGTCCTAAAATTTTAAAGCTAAAAACATTAGATAACCTTTTTCAAGAAGCCTATGTGCTATCCAGGATTAGTAAAAGTGAAAAAAACTAGAGAATTTTTGGTTTTTAACATGCAAATTTTAGTGGACCTGGGCCTGGCCCTAGTCCTGAAATTTTAAAAGCTAAAAAACATTAGATAACCTTTTCTAAAGACTGTGTGCTATCCAGGATTATCGATAGTTTTTAAAAAGCAGAGAATTCTTGATTTTAACATTATGCCAATTTTGATCAGAGGATCTGGGCCTGGCCCTGGTCCTAAAATTTTAAAGCTAAAAACATTAGATAACCTTTTCAAAAGCCTATAGCCCTGCTATCCAGGATTAGTAAAAATTGAAAAAAACTAGAATTTTGGTTCGCATGCTAAATTTTGGTCGGACCTGGGCCTGGCCCTGGTCCTGAAAATTTAAAAGCTAAAAACATTAGATAACCTTTTCAAAAGACTGTGTGCTATCCCGGATTATCGATAGTTTTAAAAAACTAGAGAATTCTTGGTTTAACACATGCAAATTTTGGAGAGATGGACTTGATCCTGGCCCTAGTCCCAAAATTTTAAAAGCCCAAAAACATTAGATAACCTTTTCAAAAGTCTATGTGCTATCCGGGGATTGAGAGTCAAAATTCAAAAAGCTAAACAATTTTTTTGTTTTTAACATGTAAATTTTGCTTGGACAATTTTCGTCCAGAGCGGCAGTACTCTGTTTCGATGTTTGTCAAAGTTTGACTTTAATCCAAGCCACGTAGGCCGGCTTAGCCGCTAACTAAAGAAGCTTGGCCATGGTTCAGGTGTGATTTGTGTCCCTTTGACGGATTAGCCTTTTGTAAGGCCTGGCTTGCGCAGGCGGACTGGCCACTTAGGCTCTTTTTTCCAAAAGATTTCCCCTTTTTTTCAGCATCACGCTCGCAATTTCTCGAGTAGCCGCAAGAACGTCCAACACGATCACCTCCCACCGATGGTCCGCTTGCTCGGATAATTTTTTGTAGTCGTAATTTGTAGTCGAAATCTAAAGCACTCTTTTTCCTAAGCCATTCTCTTGCGTAGATTCTTTTCGCTGCTTCGGTGAGATTGAACCCTGGTTCGATTCCGGCTGCGACAAATCTTTTTTTTATTTTAATTTCAAGGAAATTTAAATCCTTTCTTTCCCAAATCTTTATTTATTTTTAATATTCAAATCCATAAAATTCCCTATTTTAAGCGTATCTGTTTGTAATTTCGTAGTTTTTTAGTTTAACATTTCCTATAGATAACACGTCGTTTTGGACTTTTTTTCTCTTCATGCTAGTAGTTTGCTTTTTATTGATAAGATTTTAGCTTATTCTGGTAAATAGCAAAAGAAACAAAGATTAAACGGAAAAGCGTAATCAGATAGTAGACGGCGCTTTGAAGAAGACCCAGCTTTGGCCAGACGGCGCTTTGGAGAGACGGCGCTTTTGGAGAGACGGCGCTTTGGAGAACGGCGCTTTGGAGAGACGGCGCTTTGGAAATTCACCTGCCTAGACTGTTGCGAATAGAGGATGGACAGACGGACAGACAGACAGACAGACAGACGGGCAGACAGGCGGACATAACAGAGAAGCGCATGACCCTAGAGCGGATATTATTTTATTGTGTGCCATTTGTTGTTCTGCTAGGACAGCGGAGTTATTTCTGAAGATTTATTCACGCCTTAAGTAAGCAGACGGACAGACAGACAGACAGGGCGGACGGACGGACGGACGGATGAACGGATAGACAGACAAATGGACAGACAGACGGACGAACAGGCAGAGCGGACAAGACGGAACGGACAGACAGACGGACAGAGACAGACAGACGGGCGAACGGGCAGACGCTACGGACAGACAGACGGACAGACATACGGACAGACGAACCCAGGACAGACAGACGGACCGACAGACGAGAGGCGAACGGGCAGACGAACAGACGAACCCAGCGGACGAACAGACGGACAGACCTTAGCGGACGAACAGACGGACAGACAGTTTTAACGGGCAGACAGACGGACCGAACGCAGACGGGCAGACGAACGGGCCAGACGAACGGGCAGACAGACGAAGACGAACGGACGAACGGACGAACGAACGGACGAACGAACGGACGAACAGACGAACGAACATACGGACAAGACAGACGGACAGACGAACGGACGAACAGACGGGCAGACGGGCGAACAGACGAGACAGATGGACGAAACGGACAGGACGGACGGACGGATGAACGGATGAACAGACAAATGGACGAACAGACGGACAGACAGACAGGCGGACAGCGGATGGACAGACGGACGAACGGACTGAACAGGAACGGACGAGATGGACGAACGGAGGACGGATGGACGAGGACCTGATAGACAGACGGACGGGCGGATGGAAAGCCGGACGGATGGACAGACAGACGGACGGACAGACAGACGAGCGAACGGACAGACAGACCCGGACAAGACAGACATTTGAGCGGGACGCAAACCTTGACCCTAGAACGGACTGTTATTTTTATTGTTGTCATTATTATTGTTAGGAAGGGTTATTTCTAGTTGTACTTGTAAATGTAGCTAAAGCTTAAATCCTTATACTTTCGGAAAAGCATAACTACATAATCTCAAATCCCAAACATACCTTTCAGGGAGCCACGGTAGAAATATACAGTAATCCCCTCTCCATGGCTTGATTAGAGTTCCAGTGAGTAGAGCGTTTCAAACGTTTCTTAAAACGTGTAAACTTTCAAAACTCTCGCAATCTTTTTGAAGCATGTTGTCTAGTTTGACCAATTTTTCATGTCATTCGATGCCGAATCAAATTGTGTGAGTCGAATGAGCTCAAAAATCCAGTGAATCCGAACAATCAAAAAGGGAAAGATTACGGTAGCTTTCCTTTCGAAATCATCTTCCTTTTCGAAAACGATGAAAACATTTGCAGAGATTTTTTTTTTTAAAAAAACAAGAATATATTCAGGAGAAAAATTTCCAATTTCTCTGTCATTTCCATTTTTTTTCTTCATTTCCTTCACAACAATCGGCCGCTTCTGCCAGATCTCGTCTGCAATGGTCGACCGTAATTGAAGAAGGGCCAGATCCGAATTGGCGTATTGGGGGTCGAACGAGTAGTGCGGGACATATAAGTGGAGAGCGGGCACTTGGGATGAAGGTCGAAGGCGCACTATTGAAACATTTCTATCCCATTTCTATCCCATTTTTCCATTTTCCCATTTCTTTTCATGCCAAATACCTTCTTGTTTTCTATTCAAACGCGTTCGACGAATCGTTTCTAGAATTTGAGGAATTTTGAGGGAATTTTCGACGATTTCCGAGCGGCAAAACTCAATTCAGAGCTTTACGCGTTTAGGGCACTTGTCGCTTTATCGCTTTACGCATTTAGAGCTTGTCGCTTTGTCGCTTTACGCGTTTAGAGCTTGTCGCTTTGTCGCTTTACGCGTTTAGCGAGCTTGTCGCGCTGTCGCTTTACGCGTTTTAGAGCTCGCTTTACTCGTTTAAAGCTCGCTTTACGCTCTGAATTGCTCGCTTTCACTCGTTTAAAGCTTGTTTACCTCGTTCAAAGCCTCAAGCTTTACGCCATGAATTGCTCGCTTTACTCGTTTAAAGCTTGTTTTAGCTTAAAGCTTGTTTTACTCGTTTAAAGCTTGTTTTACTCGTTAGAGTTCTACTCGTTAGAACCTCTGATTATAGATTCCGGTTCAGTATGAAATTTTATATAGGTGTATTTCGGGGCTTCAGCTGGCTAGCTTTGGGGTTAGCTTTGGGGCTAGCTTTGGGAGCTAGCTTTTAGCGGCTAGCTTGGGGGCTATTTGGGGCTAGCTTTGGGGCTAGCTTTGGGGCTAGCTTGGGGCTAGCTTTTGGGGCTAGCCTTTTGGGGGCTAGCCCGGGGCTAGCCCCTTTAGGGGCTAGCTTTGGGGCTGGCTTTGGGCCGCTTTAGGGCCTCTTTGGGGGCCTAGCTTGGGCTAGCTTTGGGGCTATTTTATAGCTTTGGGTTAGTGGGGGGCTAGCTTTTTTGGGGCTAGCTTTGGGGCTCTTTGGGGCTAGCTTTGGGGCTGAAAAGCTAACCCCTCGTCGACTGGGAGTAGCACGCAAAAAAAAAACGCCTCGTCGCGAGATGTGTTAAATTCATAAAAGCCAGCAAGATTAGGGTTATTTTAAAGCTCAAAACTAATTTTTTTAAAGCTCAAGAAGCTCATTTTTTAAAGCCACAAAAGATAACCTCAAAATAGCGAAAGAAATTCTTCTTCTTCTTTTCCATTCTTCTTCTTTAAAAATATTCCCAATCTCTATTACTCATTTCACTATTTTCAGTCTATCTTTTCCCTTTCAACTCACTGACATGGGCGTCCATTTCCACCGCGAAACCCTGAGCAATGCCGAAGAGAATCGAGAAATGACGAGAAGAAATGAGCGAAGATTAATCTTGCGGAGAATAATCTAAATCTGAATCTGAAATTACAACTTCAATCGCAAAGAGCAAGAACAAAGAGTAAAATGGAAAAACTGGAAAAACTAGAAGAGAGCTTGACTGAAAAGAAAATCTCTTCTAACCCCGTTTGCTGTCCCTTTTCCCTTTCTACCGTAATCTTGTCTCTATTTTCATCTAATCCATTTACTTTTTCTATTTTCGATATCTTTTGTGAACCCTTACAGAATTAAACCAAAAAATGAATAAATGGAAATAAAATAGAGCTAAGATTACGGTAGAAACACAGCTTACGTTGGCAAAAAGGGGACGTGATTTGAACTCAGTAGGTAACTGATTTTTAAAGT